CTCTGAGTCAAGACAAGAACGCTTTGCACCCTGTCTGCAATTGCCATGAATGGCTGGGAGGATGACATAAACAATCTAGTTCTGTTCAAATAAAAAGTTACTGCTCTTCTAACATCCACGGGATGAAGTCTCCTTCCTTATGAGAATGGGGCTTAGGAAAAAGTTGATAAGTATACCACTTGATTGAGGTGGAATCTCAACACTACTTTAGTCAAAAAAATTTGATGCAGATGTAAATACTTTGTCTTTATAAAAGATTGTATAGGGAGCATGAGCTACCAATGCTCATAATTCTGCCTCTCTTTCTTGCAAAAGTAATGGCTACCAAAAAATGCTACTTTCACGAGTCGATGGAGTCAAGAGCAGGTAGCCATCAGTTTAAAGAGTGGACCCATCAAACTTTGTTAGCAGTTTCCGCCCTTTTTTCTAGGGTGGTCAGACTGCCTAAGCATGAAATGCAGGTATCGTTGGTACGACTGAAGGCAGAATTGTTTCTTTTTACGGAATAGAGTGTAAAATCCCAGTGTTTTCAATGTAGCCTTCAAGTCTTTTGAGACTGTGAAACTTCTCATCAATCTGCTGAGAGAATAGGGTTGAACCTTCCCAGGGGAAATCCTGAATAGTCTGCTGGACCTCCCATGGAAGACTCAAGGCTTGACTCATGAACAACTACACATCATTACTGCAGCTCTGGTTGCTGAATCTACCTCATCGAATGCATCTTGGGGGGCGGGGGGGACAGAGAGAGAGGTCCTACCCATGAGTTTGCGCTCTTCCAAGATGGCCCAGAATGCTTTCCTGGCATCCTCTGGTAACTTGTCAATGAACTTGAGAACACTGCCCTACAGAGAAAAATCATATCTGGCCAACAAGGCTTGCTGATCAGATATATGAAACTGCAGGCTAGCAGTAGAATATATCTTACCAAAAAGGTTGAGTCTTTTTGCATCTTTATCCTTTGGGGTAGACGATGGCCGTCCCGGACGTGCTCTTTCATTTACTGTCGAATCAACCAAAGAACCTGGCAAGGGATGAGTGTAGAAAGGTTCAAAGCCCTGAGAAGGGGCATGGTACCTGCACTTAGTTCTTGTGGCTGTCAGCAGCAGAGACAATGGCATTTGCCACAGTAATCTTGTGGGCTCTGGTATGACTTCATTTATAGGTAGAGTCACACTGGAAGGTCTTGCTGACCCCAGTATGTCTCCCAGTCTGTGAGAACTCTCTTGAACTACCTCAACCTGGATGTCAAGCTCATTAGGAGCTCTTGGTAGGCCTGGTAGCCATCCTGAAGAGAGGAGGACTTCCGAGACACCACTACCTCATCGATCAGGTGATGAGGAGGAGGTGTGCAAAGAAGGTTGAGCAGGAGCTTTCTGTACCTCCCCAGATGGAAATTGTGGTATGTAATGTTCCTGCTTGCTACTGGCATTGGTACCACAGGTAACCTTGAAATTCCACATGTGAACTATCCTGACGTCTGCTTGGGGATCTGGAGGGCAGAGGAACTGGGGAGGATCTGGTGGTGGGGAGGAACCCCAATTGTTTCAATACGGCCATTGGTAGGATACAGGACCCCAATCTCTATCAGCCCAAGGATGTGTGTCCCTGGACCACCATGGGAGCTCTTCTGGATACCAGGAGTGGAATCTTAACAATGAAGTTGAATGATGCCTTCTATCCTGGGAGCGAGAGCCAAAGGAACCTACATCAGGCACCAAAGAAGAGTCACGTAGCCAGGGAGATGTGGTACCATGTGGTATCGTGGACAGGTGCCATGCCTCTGGAGACACGGATACCAGGGACAACATACTGAGTTTACATCTGGATGGCACCAGGCAAGGCACCAAGGATTGGACCTTACTGATAGGTAAGCCATATGAAGTCTGAAGATCAATCAGTACAGGATGGGGTATCTTGCATATAGCATGGTAGGTCCTCCAAGAGAGTCACATTGGGGACCACTGTCAAATCTGCAGGGACTTCAAGCCCCAGACAGGACAGAATCATACAACTATAGGACTGGAAGGGACCTCATGAAGTCCTCAAATACAGCTCTGAGGAAGGACCAGTAAACCTAGAACATCCCTGACAGGTGTTTTGTCTAACCTGTTCTTAAAAATCTCCAATGATGGGCACTCTACATCCTCTATTTGAAGCCTATTCCGGAGCTTAACTACCCTTATCGTTAGAAAGTTTTTCCTCATATCTAACCTAAATCTCCCTTGCTGCAGATTAAGCCCCCCCGTTACTACTTGTCCTACATTCAGTGGAGTTCAATGGAGAACAATTGATCACTTTCCTCTTTATAACAGCCCTTAACATATATGAAGTCTTATCAGTTCCCCTCAGTTTTCTTTTCTCAAGACTAAACATGCCCAATTTTTTTAACCTTTCCTCATTGGTCAGGTTTTCTAAACCTTTTACCACTTTTGTTGCTCTCCTCTGGACTCTCCAATTTGCTCATATCTTTTCTAAGGTCTGGTCTACATGGGGGGGGGGGGGAGGAGAGGGGAATCGATCTAAGATACGCAACTTCAGCTACGTGAATAGCGTAGCTGAAGTCCAAGTATCTTAGATCGATTTACCTCAGGTCCTCACGGCGCGGGATCGATGGCCACGGCTCCCCCGTTGACTCTGCTACCGCCTCTCACTCTGGTGGAGTTCCGGAGTCGACGGGGAGTGCGTTTGGGGATCGATTTATTGCGTCTAAGATGAAACGTGATAGATTGATTAGTACCCACCGATCCGGCGGGTAGTGAAGACATACCCTAAAGGTTGGTGCCCACAATTGGGCACAGCACTCCAGCTGAGGCCTCTCCAGCGGTGAGTGAGTGAGACAGTTACCTCCTGTGTCTTACATTTGTGTTAATATATCCCAGATTGATATTATCCTTTTTTTCCAACTGCACCACATTGTTGACTCTGATTCAATTTGTGAACCACTATAACTTCTAGATTCTTTTCCCAGAAAGGTGGAAACCAACACTCTAAATAAAAATTAAGTAAAATGACAAATTAAATTTACTCCAAAATTCTAACTAACTATAGACAAGTACACTAACTACATAAAAAAAAAAATAGATTTTCTGAAAGGGAGAACACTTGCAGAGCAAAGCAACATGCTCTGACTACCAGTCACGAGCAGTAAGAAGCAACTGAGGGAGGCTGAGGATGGGTCATGCAACAGCACGAGACAGCAAAGGGTGCATGCGCTGCCATGACAGATATCATTATGGGAAATATCTCTGGCTCTGGTGCACTGGGCATATACATACCTGAAATGTGCAATCACTCAAAGAAGAACCTTAACTCTTCCCCCACAAACACTACCAGCTGTCAAAATCTTTAACCACTATTCTGAATACAACTCCTTATCAAACTATCCTCTCCCAACACAACCAACAACTACTTCACCGAACAGCTACAATTATTAGTGTCGGGGAAAATAATGTAGTAAAGGGTGTAGGCCTTACTGGAGCCCTAGGCCTGGTTAAAAGTATGAACCAAGGCTGTGAGCCAAAGTAGGCCTTATCAGAACAGCAAGGCTAGGTATCAGCTAATCAAGTACATTCCTAAAGGGATGATACAGGAAGTCACAGATCCCTTGTGAGATAAGGAGGGAATGACAGGATAATGGAGGAGGGTGTTGTGTTCAAACTATCAGATACAAGATACAAGAATGGTAGCTAACAACATCTGGAGTGTAATAAGTAACTTGTTTGTACCAATGTATAAAAGAAAAAGTCATAGGAGGGGCAGTTTTGTATTGGCCTAGCAAACAATATTATGTTGATTGAGCCGATACCTTGTCACAGACATACATATGTTAGTGAACCTGCTTGGTATGAGGGGCCCTAGTACCGTGCTTTGAAGACAATAAACCTGGCCAATCCTTTGTCACTGAACGGAGCTTGTGGTCTTTCTTTATGAGTAATGTCAAGGTCTGCTGAATCAACATTAGCTGCAAGCTATACTGGTGCAGCAAACACCGTAGCTTCAGAAATAACACTGCAACACTAGCAGCACAGGGGTGTGTGAAGAAGGAAAGGATGGGAGGGTTGAAGAGAGAGGGGTAGAGTTAAAATCAGGTGAACACATGTGACATTCATCTCATTATGCTATTTGATGCTGTTCAGCCTTCCACCAGTAATATTTTTAAGAGTATCTTTTTTAAGGCAGAGCAAACAGTCCCGTTTCCACCAGCACAAACAAAGATACAATGGGGAGTTTGGTTTGAAATTTAAGTTCTTGGAGAAACCAAAACAGTTAAGTATGTAAAAATGCCCAGCTGACTACCTTCAATATTTAAAACCCAGTGGCATTCCCCTCTTGGTCTAAAAACCCAGACATTTTTACAAATCAAAAAAGGTTTATGTACCAGGGATCCCCCAATACAGCAGCTGACCCATCCTCTGCCTCAGTTTCCCCTTCCTGAACCCACCAATAACTGCACATAAGCTCTCGTTTGTTGAGAAACACCCTTTCTTGGGGTCAGTTTTATTAAAATAATATCACAGTTCAATGTCAACTTAAATTAAAAACAGACTTTCTCCAACTATACATTTCCTTAGTCCCTTGTTCAATAGTTCTTTTCCAAAACCCAGGTCCTGCTGTTTGGTGCTTCCTAAAGCCTCTTCCACTTAAGGGTTCTGCCCTTGTCCCACACATGCCTGGCACAGAAGGCCTCTTTCTCCAGGTCCTCTCTAACCCTTGGTCTCCTGGAGAAGCCTTCCTGCAGGTTTCTCATCCTCTGAGTAACCTTTCATATAGGGAAGCAGTGCCTCTTACCTGAGCATCAGGGGATCATCTGATCGCTAACCTCAACACCAATCACTTGGGGATGCAGTTTAAAAGTGGCACAGGTAAGGCTGAGCCCCACCCCCCCTTAAAGGGCCAGGTCATCCAGTAACAGTAAACAAAAACAAAACGTCACCAAGCCATCTAGAAAAGTCACTTTTACTTATTAGAAATGGAAAAACTGAGCAGCATCAGCTACTCACTCAAATTATAAAGAGAGTTCATACAAGAGCCTGGCTATTTTCATGTCTCCACCTGATGGCAGAAGGACTTGCATCCAATGTCTGTTCTAGCATAGACTGACTTCAGAGAAACTAGAAATGTGCCCATCACCTACAGGAGCAATGGAAAAACCTTAAAATGAGTTGCAAAATGTAACAGGGATAAATCAGAAAACAGATCTGACAATATGCTGCATATATTTAAGAAATAAAAAAAAATCCCAAAAGAATTGACTTATACATAAAGAATGAGAAACAGCTAACTCATGCAGCTAGGGAACAGCTTCACAACTGCTGTATTTATATGACAAAAAGATAAGTACTACTTGCTACTACATATTACATCAGAAATAAAGTACGTATTGTATTTCACTTGGGATTTAAGTTTCATTGCATTTGTTTTTCATTTAATAATCCTATATTTTTATTGTTTAAAATTAAGCGAATTTACCAGATTCCATTGTCATCTGAAGTAAACCATCAATGGCATTGGAAAGCAGACCTCTACTGGATATTCTTAAGTGACTTAATATAACAGGCACAGATTGGTACTCCAAAAATAAGGCCTTCCCTTCATCTGTCTTCAAGTCCACGCAAAGGGAATCAAATGCCTGAGCCAGATAATCAGCTGAAAGAGACATTAAAATGCAAACAATTTTATAATCACAGTTCTAATGTCTGATCTATAAAGTTTAGTATATATAGTTACTTTGAGATTAATAATTATACAGCTATAAAAAATGTAACAATTAGAAGATTAAATGGATCAAGATATAAAGGTTTAAATTGTTAGACCTTTATTTTAATATTTCCTATATTTCTAATTGACGATTTACTGTGCCTTGGTTTAAAGTAGGGAACAGGGAAGTCGGGGGCAGCCCACATTTTTTAAAAGTATGACTTATAAAGGTTAGATTTAAGTATTTTGCTAAAGAGATGAAGTGAGCCCTCTCCTGCACTCAATAAAGCTTTATAATCCAGGTTAAAATTAACAGAAATGCTTATTTCTATACTGCATGAATGATGAATGTAGAAATTCAATTTTATTCTCAATATCATTATTCCCAATATTAACAATAAATAGATCTACAGAATCAGTGAAATCCCAATCCCTATTGCTATGAACATTATTTTTTTTCACATCACCGAATACTTCAAGGTGTAACACTGTTTGCTTTATGGCTTTGAAACATAGAAACATGCTGCACTGGTTTTGAATTCTGAGTTAGTCTATCTCCCCAGCTTTGTTTCCTCTCCTCCTCCAAGTTTCTCAGCAAGTGCTACATAAATTCCAATAAATACAAATTTTAACTAGTTTCATGATCCAACTTTAATTTTTTTTATACAAATTAAACCATGAAAGGGAAGGACAAGGCTAGGATAACTTTAAAGCCTGCTTATGTACAAATCTATTGTTTACTTTTCTTCAAATTTTACATAAAATATTTAAGACATACTGCGCCAATTTCCTAAAAATACACATGAATGTTGAAGATAAAAATAGTCAGAAAGTGACACAATTGTGACTTTTGTTCTTGTATTGTATTCTTGTTCCAGCAGTAATTAAATGGACAACCTGAACTTCTCTCATACCTATTAGGGCCTTTATTCAGGACAATACTTATGCACACGCAACTTTAATACACAAAGTAGTCCACTGACTTCAAAGGGATTACTTATGGGCTTGAAGTTAGTCACATGCTTTTGTATCTTACTAAATTACGGTTGTAGATACATTAGAGGGTTTTTTCTTCTGAAATGTGGTATAATGAATAAATCTGCCTAGCTTGAGACTATGTGTTCCTCAACATTTGGGAGACATCTACTAATGTGCTCAGAGATGAAGGAGAAGAGTACTGGATAAAGACAAAGATCGCAACTACTCCATTCCCATTTACTTTCACGAGGATTTGCTCGGAGGAGAAGTTTAATCTTTCAGTTTATATGCTGATTACCCCTCTACAGTATATTAAAATATACAGGGACTTGAGACTCACAGTTAAATAATGAACTCATCTAAGTGCCTTAAATAACCACAGGTCCTATATTTCAGATCTCCCTATTTCAAATTCCTATTTAGGAATAAAAACACACTACTCAGTTACAGGATGAAATAATTAAATATAATGGAGCCATTCTGTAGTAAGAAAAGTTTAGTTACAGTGCCACCTCCTGGATTTACGACACTTTAGGAAAAAAAAGTAATCTTACTGAAGCTCTTGCATTATGAATAGAAGAAAATCAGTGCTTTACTTTCAATGTGTGATCAAAATTAGTAAGCAGTAATTTCACGAATGTGCTTTTTATTATTGCAGATCATACTTAACCATAGCATATAAACTAACAGTAAAAATCAATAATGAGAAGCTAAAAAGTTTTACCATTGTAAGTATTGGCTTTAGCTGTTTAGCTTGATTAATGACAACTTAGTATGGCAACTATTCATGTTGGGGTTTGTTTTTTAATATCAGGAGGGACCTCTTATCAATGTGATTCTCATTTTAAGAATATATTTCACATTAGTCTATTAGATAGAATAACATTCTTCTAATTATTAGAACCTGTATCTGTTTTAAAAACTTCAAAAACCAAACCTAAGACACACCTTTATCAGGAATTTTAGTCTTAAAACAAATATAGCACAAACAGTGACAGAGTAAACTTCCACATAATGTCACACTAATGTGATTCCTACCTAGTCTGGAGAGATTGCATCTGTAAATAGGAAAGCACAGTTCAATCTCCAGAGTTATTTAATCCTTAGCCTCCCCGATTAGGCTGCCAATGATAAAAGTGGTAGTAGTTTTGTGATGTGGACATCTGCCTACTGAGAACTGGCCTGAAATCACTAACACATTTCATGGAAGCCACTGAATAGCCACCCAATAGATCTCAGGATAGATGGTAAACAAAAGTTGACATTGGGGATGGATTTATATTGGCAGCTGAAAGGTGAAAATCTCTATAGCGCATTACCAGTTCTCCAAAATACATAGTCCCCCTGTCCCTCTATTCTCTATAACAGATGTTTTAAAATTTGGAAACATTCTACAAAACAAAGAATGGGTTTTATTTGCACAATCCACATTTAAAATCAGGAGTCAAAGAATAGGTGGTAGTACTCTCTCAAGTTCTATCAACTAATTCTTTTCTCCAGATGCTCAGATAATGATGAACACCACCTCAACGCATAGATGAAACAGAACAAGGATAAATTTAAACAATTACCAATTTAACAGTAAATTAAATTACCCCAATGGTGTAAACCTGCAAGGGATGTCAATAGCAGAAACATGGCATACCCTCCATCTAGGGACGAATGTCCCCATAGGGGACCACAAATTCACTGAACTGGGTGTCTAAGATTCAAGTGCTCTGTCTCTCTCTCTTGCCCCAATACTGGATACGTTGGGAGGCTCAGGTCCCCTTGTGTGGAAGGGCAGGAGGAAGGAAGGTGTATTAATTTAGATGGAATATATAGGCCAAAAGTGTTAACATAACCCAGTGATTGTCCAACATTAAACAGTGTTAAACAAGGTTTGGGATTTGGTGTACAGAGATCTCAGCTTGCTTAGTACCATGGCAAACACACCATTAAAAATCCTTTTAACATTTTATTAAAGATACAGAAAAAGAAAGAAAAACAATTAAAGCATTTTAAATGTAAAATATTAAATTAGGTTTTCATTATAACAACATCCCTTGTTCCCCTTAGCTGAAGAGAATTTTTAGGAGGAAAAATCCTCATTTGACAGTCTCTTAGATGGTATCAAAGATGGTAATACTTTCTTTTCCCCAAAAAAGACAGTTAAGTTAGTTGAGATGAGCTGGAGTGAAGCCACATGCAAAAAGCGGGGAGAAAAGAACAGCAGAGATTGAAATTCAGGTTCGGTCTCTGATATTGACTCTCACTTAGAATCTCACTACTGCAAAAACACAGTCTTATTAGCCACTCCAAGACCAACTTAAACCAGCATTGCGGTGTTTAGGGCATTGCTTTTAGTTACCTCTTTCTGGTCAGAAGCTTACAGAGCTGTAGTAATGAATACAGTCTTGGCTGGCTAAACTAGATTCCTAGTAAGAGAAGGAAAAAGTCGAGGGATAGGAAAGGTAAGAAATAAGGTAGGGAAGGAAAAGGATGCACGGGGAATGGGGAGGTCACAAAGTCTCACATCCCACGGTGTTTGGGATTCAGCTGGAGCCAGCAGAGGTGCCGATGTCATCTGGGTCCTGCTCTCTGGCCCAGTCTGGTCAGGACATCTCTCAGGATTAGGACAAAGAAGGTCTGTGGTCCCAGGAAATGGTGGGGGTGGCAGCCATGATGGTGAAGCTCCCTCCGATAGCCCATTTTTCTCCGAAAGTCTCTTTCTTTAAGGACCCTATAAACGAGTGGTGGGTGGAACAGGGTAAATTTGTAGGCCCAGTTATCACAACATGGGGTGTGTGTCCTGCCCAGGGTAGATTATCCTTTCCTTGGCTGTTGCGAGGGCTATGTTGATCCCGGACAGGATTCTCCCTTCCATGAGCAGCGGCTCCTTCTTCCTGGTCACAGAGGGCATTGTGGTGCTCCAGAGCAGCTACAGGAAGGTAACAACCACTCTCAATACTTCCTCCTAATGATATACTCCTCTGGCTTCCCACTTAGAGGAAAAGGACTCTGGCAATGGCTCCTCCTCCTGCTCTCTTTCAATAGTGGTGCTGCTCCCCCTGCTAACAGCTGCTTAAAAGTACAGTTACTTAACCTATAGTAATTGGTTCTTCAAGATGTGTGGTCCACAGAGATTCCACTCTTAGCACTCATGCAACCCATGCACATGAGATTGGATTCTTGTTGGCTACGAGTGTTCATTGGAGCTGTGCCTTAAGCTGCCAGAGCTCTAGTAGAATAAGCTCTCTTGTGGCTAGAAAGATCTCTTCTAACTAACTCATAAGTTCTTGTGTGGTCAGAAACCCACTTGGATAGCCTCTGAGTGGATACAGGTTGGCTCCTGACCCTGTAAACAAAAGTCATGAATAGCCTAGGTGTGCTCCTGGATGATTTTGTTCTATCTAAATAAATTGAATTCTGATACCACCTTAGGCAGGAATTTAGGGGAAAATCTAAGAGTAACCCTGTACTTCTGAAACGCTAGAGGGTGCCAGATACGAAAGCCATGAATCTCTTCTACCCTCCTAGCTGACAAAATGGCCACCAGGAAATGAATTTTCATGGACAGGTGGCAAAGGGAACAAGATGTTATGGTCTCAAAGGGGGAACCTGTCGACACTGCTTATACTATACTTGGGTTCCAAGAGGCAGGTGGGCTTCTGAACGGGGGGTGGGGGGGGGGAGGGAATGAGACCCTTCAGGAAATGTATTACTGTTTGGTGGGAATAGGAGTTTAATTCACATATTGCTGCCAGATGGACTCTTATGTTGATGGAAAACCCAGATTGCTTCAGGGCTAACAAAAAGTCCAGTATTGATTAAACTGGTACTATCAGGGAGAAATTGGGTGCTGAGATGCCAAAATAGAAAAGCTCTTCCATTTAGCTCTATAAGTCAGTCTGGTTGAAGGTTTCTTTATCCAGAGTAGAATGTTCTGAACCTCTGCGGATGTCATCCAGCCCACACCCAAGCCGTCAGGT